GGTAATTCTCTAGTAAAACCTTCTCAAGAATTGATGCTTGAGAAAGAGAAAGTAAATAAGGACAGTGTGATGTACCATGTGATGTTAATTCACATGGGAAATTATCTCCCATAATATAAATCATAGCCAGGAAGTTATTGTAGATGTAATACATACTATTTATATACTGGTTATTATCCTTGAAATTGGTCCAACTCTGGTAAAATTTGGAATCTTTATGTAGAACCATCCCAGTGTCCTCTCTGTAAAACAAGTACAGTAATTATATCGGAGGAGTTTATAGATATCAAATAACTAACAAAACTACATGCAGTGCGAATCACAATACATTCCTCACTAATGCTAACTAATCCACATGATTACTTATTAGGAAGGACTATTTTTTTCTGGTTATGTAAAAAACATGCAAATATCTTTAATAGACACAACATTACCAGATTTAGTTTTGGTCATTTTATATAAATTCATCTTTTCAGTCACACGATTTAGTTGTTATTTATTCAATTTTGCTAAAAAACAATTAATGCATTTTCATTTGTATAGCACCATTATTTGATCAATCAGAAAATGAACATTTCAAAAAAGGCACCAGTCAGAATTGTTTTTGAAGATATCATCTACTATCTAAAGAGTGCAGGACAATGCATGTTATTATGTAATCAAATGACAGTAAAGTATTGTTGAGAATGTCAAAGAAATTTGTCGCACTCCCAGACTATACTTATGAATTGATAAAATTAAAAATCCAACAGAAAAGAAAAATGTTCAAGAACAATTGACATTGATACTACTGTAACTGTCCATTATAGAAGCAGATGAATAACATTCAGACTTCATATCATCACTTGGTATTCAGACAAGTTAGAACTTTGTCAGGAAAGTGTGATTTGATCATGTGAGAAACAACGTCTTACTCATTAGGTGCTACTTCCTCTTTCCTCTTGAAGTTAACAGAATCTTCAGATCGCATTCGAAGCACCTCTGAAAAAGCAAATCAAATCATTCTTAATACAAACTGGTAGAACATGTACTGAAAAATGTATTATTGTGATATTACGACAAGGGCTTGAAGGGGAAGAATTTTAGTAAATATTAGTTTTCACAGAGCTAAAAGTGTTGGTATGTCTATACATACACAATGTCAGTTATGAGTATTTTGGTCGAGACCATCTGTATTCAGTTCAGGATCTGATCATTGCTTTTCTTGTAACATTCTAAGGCTGTAGGAACATTATATAACTCACAGGTCTACTTCATATACACACTATTTATGTACAAAGGTGCAAATCCCATCCAATACTTTGTATAATGACAAGTATACACACAGTCTGTGTGTACAGTCCAACTGATTCTATGTAGGACATTCACAGTGTGTGTACTAACCTGTAAAGCCTGGTAAAGCCTACCTGGTTTCTTGTAGCACTGTGCTCTTGTTGTATCTATGTCTTTCAGTTCATTTTTCACAGCCTGCATCAGATCAGACAAATACATTGTATCAGCATTATGAATTTGATATTCAATGTAAACATTTGATATTCAATTTAACAGACATCATTTCTATTTTCGAATACATTTATATAAAATGCATTGATTTGCATGACATTTTGCTGGCAAGTTGAAACTCTAAATTTTTGCAATGCTTTTAAACTTTATGACCCAAATTTAAATCACTATATTGTCATTTCTATATTATTCATATCAACCTCTTGCTATATCTTTGCCTCATTCATATGAATCTCAAAATTTGTTAAGTATATATAATTCTATTCTGGTTGGATCATAATTAAGACAAGGTTGGTGACTTGTGATATTAATCTGGTTTATGACGTCATTTCAACTGTACCATCACAATACTCTCTGCCAAATGCAGTATTTTCACCGACAATTTTCATAAATTCTTTCTTTTTTTAATGATTTTAACACTATTTAGCATCTTCTAATATAACAATTATGGACTTTTGTTGAGGTGAATATGTGGTTGTGTAGACCTGAAAAGGTTGACCTTGACTTCGTCTCAGTCAATATCAACTTTCTCAGGTTCATATAACCATATATTTACCTCAACTAAAGTCCATAACTGATAAATTTGATGCAGTACATGTTTTGTTAAATTACTTTTGAACCGAAATTCCTTTTACTTACTTCTGATATAGTTTGTATAGGTTTTGACTGTCCTAATTGTTGACCTCCCTTTGTCACGCCCTTTGACAAGGTATCTGCCAAGTTACCAGCAGACTTCAGCGTTTCCTTTGTGAATTCCTTCCCCTTTTTAGCCATTTCATGTTCAGACAATTCATTGAAGGTCTACAACAACAAAACATAATACATAGTTGTTACCCTCAGATTCCCGGATACTGTAGTACAAACAATAAAC